CTCCGTTATTCACCTCCGCTGATATCACTACACTGTGTCAGTGTTTCTACCCAACTTGACAAGGAATGTCGGGGAAGAACACAGACAACTGGTTTGATGTAAACATACTAAAAATATGCTTACAGCACTATCTAGGAGTTTGTAACCTCATATTTTTGAAACACCGACAGAAATACAAGATACCCTATTATCCGTAATAAAAAACTCGTCAGAACTCCAAGGGGCGGACACCAAGTAGGGGCGCATATGCAAAGATTACGAATCCCAGACACCACCCGCAGTACGGGCGCGCGGAAATAAATTAAGCGGGAAGGAAGCAATCTGCCAAAAGATCGAAAAAAGCGGGTGAGGATTTCCGTCGCATTCCAAGATACAGTTCTAATTGCAGGGGGTAATGCTCGTGACCCCACAAAACGGCCAAGTTGCACACGTTTACAAATGTAGGCTAGCCTAACGCGTCAAAATATGAAATTGATGAACTTTTTTCAGGTTACCCAAACGCTAACAGTGCTCAGCACTTCAAGGTGTACTTGGATTCGATTTTCGACGTAATATCTTCCTTCCCGGCCCAACTGTATTCCGTACAATATCTCTGGCGTCAATCCTACAAAGATTTCTATTCTAGACGGCGAGAAATGCATACGCGCTTGAAACCCCTCTTCCCCCCACAACGATCGCTCAAAAGGGGCGTGGAAGTGATCAGGTGAATCCCCTAGGTGTGCCCCGTGGGGTAGGGCTGTCTCACAATGGCGCATGTCTCGGAATTCCGCAGGGGGTGGCCGTCCGGCCAGCGCGACCCCACCTAGAAGATATAAAAGCGCGTCGGTCGCGTCCCAATCTTCACCAATCCACTCCTTCTCTCATTCCCTCTTGAACACCAAAACTTTATCTATCAACAATGCCCAACTTCCAGATCCCCAAGGTCCAGAAGGTCGCCATCGTCCAGAAGACTGGAGGCACCATCGAAATCAAGAACGACTTCCCCGTGAAGCAGCAGAACCAGCTTGCTCCTGGTGAATGTCTCATCAAAATTGAGGCTTCAGGTTCGTAGATGAGTTTCGTCGCCCATTTTTGCGGTTCTAAGCATCTTTCCAGGATGTTGCCATACCGACTTGCACGCCGCCATTGGTGACTGGCCCGTCCCTCCCAAGACCCCCCTCATCGGTGGACACGAAGGTGTCGGCATTGTTGTAGCTATCGGAAGCAACACCAACGCGTCGTATGTCTACTCTCGCGTGATATCAGAATCTGTTAACTAAGCTTTCGATAGGCCCGTTCAGCTGGGTGATCGCGTTGGAATCAAATGGCTCGCTGATTCTTGCTTGAACTGCGAGGACTGCCGCAAAGGCCGTGAACAAAGTGAGCTCTTCTGTATCTATTTCCGTACGATCGATTAACTCTTTGCTCAGACTGCTCTCAGGCCAAGTTGAGCGGTTACACCGTCGACGGTACCTTCGCCGAATACGTGGTTTCCTACGTCAACCATGTTACTCCCATCCCGGAAGGTTTCCCTTCCGATGCTGCTGCTTCTATCCTTTGCGCTGTACGTTTTCCGTGCTCTCTGGTGGAATCGGTCATTTCTCATTATTTCATAGGGTGTCACCGTCTACCGTGCCATCAAGTACAGCCAGACCAGCGCTGGAGACTGGATCGTCCTTCCTGGTGCTGGAGGAGGTCTCGGACATCTTGGTGCGTCTCTTTACAAGCAACCCTCTTCAATATCAATTAACGTATGTCACAGCCGTCCAATACGCTCGTGCTCGCGGTCTCCGCGTCATTGCCATCGGTATGTCCTTATCGCACATTTTCTAACATCTACCAACCTTTTTTTGTAGATAGCGGTGCCGAGAAGAAGAAACTTTGCCTGAGCCTCGGCGCTGAGGTTTGGATCGACTTCAAGGAATCCAAGAACATCGTCGACGATGTCAAGGCCGCCACCGGTGGATTCGGTGCTCACTCGGCTGTTGTCACTGCCGCCCACGTCAGTTGATCATTTTTTCCCCTCGTGAATTTCCATCTAAACTTTTCTTTTAGAGCTCCGGCTACACCCAGGCGCTCGACTACCTCCGCCCTGGTGCTACCCTTATGGCAGTCGGTCTCCCTGGAACATCCACCTTGAATGCGTCCATCTTCTTCACTGTCTTCAAGGTACTTATTTTGGCTCTCGCTCCCATTCCTGCCAGTCTCACATTTACTTCAGAGCATCAGCATCCTCGGGTCCTACGTTGGAAACCGTCAAGATGCTCGGGAGGCCCTCGACCTTGCCGCTCGTGGTCAAGTGAAGGTTCACTTCGTCACCAAGGACCTTAAGGAGCTCCAGAAGTAAGTCTCATCACCCGTTGTGGCCCGACGAGTGCTGAACATTCTTTAGCGTCTACGACGGAATGGCTGCCGGAAAGGTTGCGGGCCGTGTTGTTTTCGATCTCAAGAAGTAAATGAGCCAAGGATTGGATAAGAAGAACATAAGCTACTGTAAAATATCATTTCGTATTTATTCTACCTATCGGAATGGAATCATTGATATTGTACAACTTTGTCTGCCTCAATCTTCCTCATCTTCCGAAGAATCTTCCTCTTCTGTATCTTCCTTTACCCATCTGATTATTTCTCGATAATAAGTCTGCTTGGTTTTTTCGTCTCTCTTCACTGCACTGACCAGTCCGTAACGGGGGCAATAATACCCTATAGTGCCCACGACTTCGTCTTGCGTACTAGCATCCACGCCCGTACCATCACTTATAACTTCCACAAGACCCCACATCCCTCGACTGACACATTCCGCGGCTAGGTCCGTAGTATAGGCAGGGTGCAGATCTTCGCTATTCTTCTGCCCCTCACGATGCACGTTTATCATCGTTTGTTGCGATGCAGGTTCCAAGTACGTCCTCAACCGAGAGAGCGATCCGTTCTTAGCCAAAGTTTGCAAATCCAGAGCGCATTGCTTCAACGATTCCACGTTCCCGATGTCGAAAGGAAATATGAATTTGACGATTGCCCAGGAGTCGGACTCGAAGGAACTCGTGCAAACGGGCAGAGAGTCGTACGGATTGCTGAGAGAAGTATATACCGCATACTGGAAGAAGAGTTCACTTCGTCTGCGCTAAATTTGGGTGAGTCAATATCAGGGATGGTGCTTAAAAAAGTGCACTTACGGTGAGAGTACGGCGTGTTCGAGCATGTACCAGTACTCCGAACTTGAGACGACTGTCATTGCCTACAAGATATCTGATCAGACGGAGGCTCATGAGTGCAGACACCCACATACCTGAACGATGGCGCATAGATATAGCAGTTCTGGAGGGGTGTCCTTGAACCTGGAGGCGAAGTCGACGTAGACACGCTCTCCCGGCTCTGTATCCGTATACAAGAGATCCAGTGGGGAATCGTCCATAGCGTAGAATTTTTCGCGCGTGGAGAAGTCCACTTCTTGGGAGGCGTTTAGAGACTGCATTGTGATGAGGCGAAACGGGGGATATTTTCTGATTGACATATGCGCGACGTCTCCGAGTTTATATCCTCATTGACAATGAGACAAACCAGGATACAGGTATAATAAGACCGCCAACATAGATCAAGAAACAATAAGCCTGAGAGTGTCATCCAAAATGTTGGCTGCAAAGCCAAACTACCATAGAACAATCATAGAACCACGTCAGACAAAAGGTCGTAGCATTCGGTCAACAATGAGTGACGAGTCTGAGGCGCCAGAAGAGGAACCATAAAACCGTGCCAGACAAAAAGATTGTGGCATCCAAGTTCGAGGCACCAGAATCACAACTGGTGCAAATTCCAACAGCATTGCAACATAATAGCGCATTGGACAATATTTCCGAACAAAAGCGTCAGGCACATCAACATCCACAGTACTTGCCTCGAACTTCTTTGCGCTGACAGCTTGGGCCGTAGCTCCTAACACTGACTTATCGAAAGTAGTCTTCAAATGCCATCTCTGTAGTGAGTCCTACCATCATACTACTAACCTGCAATTCATCACGAGGACTGGGTATGTGTGTGACGAATGGGATCTCGGCGTTGTGTATGCCCAATATAGCGACGTCGAGTTCCTGGAAGAGCTTGTAGGGTCACTGAGCTAGTACAAAGTCGAGAGGCGCTGATTGTTATGGTCGAAACATGTTTCGATGGTCCCTGCGCATACTGGTGTAATGATGAGCATATCAGTGCGAAGGCGGAACAAAGTGGTGATGAGCCTTCAAGAGATCTTGGTCGCCAGCCATCCTGGTTGAATCTGGCAATAATAGCGTGAAATACTTGATGCGCTTGGTTACGGTTATGAGTTTTGAACTTGCCGTCTCGTGGATAGTGATATAGCTGAGGAGAGCAAAGTGCCTAGGCACATGTATATAAGAAATGTAACAAATCTCTGTCTGAACGGGATATCAGACGTGTAAATATGAAGAAAATCTTACATCTACAGTAGCAGCTGTATGGTTACTTTCGTCTCATATATTTCACGGCTCCAACGAAGATCTGATAGAGGCAGACAGTTTGTTTTGAACCGTTGAAGCAAAGAGATCAAATTCTTACCTGAAAAACCGGAAGAAACCCAGGGAAAAGACTTGTACTGTACTAAGGATGTGTTCTCAGAGAGAAAAACACGGATTTACACGTCATAAGAGCGAGTAGACGCGACATGGAGATGCCAAGGTTTGCAAGTCGTGTAAGGCGGCTGCGCACGGCAAAGGTTACCCGAGCTACCCAGTATAGCAGCTTTCAAACTCAGTTGAAACTCTGGTCAGTACTAGCAACTGCTATCGATAACAGGCATGTGTAGCCAGCCTTGCTTATTGACGTGATACGTCTCCAATTTGCTACATCTCCACATCTTTTCTTTCTAGATTTTCTTACATCAATTCAAATCTTTTGATGTAACCCGTATATTCCGTCGTGGTTCACAGGGTTTTGATAACTGCCTACTAGTTGTTCGAGTCATCTACCGGCTCACCAAAACTACTTGAGGACTCGGACTTATTACGCTTGCGATGCCCCCCCGCTTCATCGCTTTCGTCGCCTCGGGTGTCGTCTCTGCGACGCAGGTAGGTTCATTCGTTCTTTCGCTATTGCCAATTAACCGTCTATGCGCAGAATCATACCTGCCCCCAAGAACAGGCAATACCTCTCCTCCGAGGATACAACGGAGGGTTTCGTAACTATTTTTACACCACCAGCGCTGCGGAAATGGAGAACGCTATCACCCAGTTTGAGTACAATTCCGAGGGTGATGCAGCTCGCATTTTTGGTTCCCAAGTTTCCGGAACGGTACCATTCTATCGCACATACCACCCCACCGTAGTTGATCATTTCTACACCACATCCGTTGACGAGCGCAACAACGCGGTCCAGAATTTGGGATATAATGACGAGGGTATTGTTGGGTACATCTATCCTTCGGCGGCGTGCTGCAGCGTCCCGTTCTATCGCTTGTACAACCCAACTGTGCACGATCATTTTTATACCGCAAATAGGATCGAGAAAAACACCGCAACCCAGACTTCGGGGTATGTGAACGAGGGCATTGAAGGATATGTCCTTCCCGTTTGATTGCAGTACGTCAAATCCATACGTCTGGTTAGAATATTTACTAACTTGTATTATTTCTCCGGCGAGAACAGTTTCGTGCTGAGTTTCATGATCTAATAGTAATATCTTGACTGCTTTCAGTTGCTCGTAGCTTTGTGACTGCCAAATGATATACATCAGTTTCTTTCACAAACTGTGATGATGGCACACAAAACGACCTTGATGCACTGGACAGGAGATATGTTGGTGTACCTTACACTTAAAATCTGTTGAAGCGTGCAATTCATGGTTAGATCAATAACAGCATCTCTATGTGAGATTGAAGCTGCTTAAATTCTTTGGAAAGGAGAAGAACGGTATCTCAAAGAAAGAAACGGGGTCCTGCCGCTCTCGCTGCCAATTTTGGATTCTGAGGAAGTCTGGTCTTCTGTCCAGGAAACTTCACCGACCCCAAGGAAAAGAATCAAAGTCACGATGTCTTGAGAGCAAGTATGCCATAGGTACATATATTAGCAGCAACGAATAGTTTCGTCCATAGCTTCAAACCGTTCTGATCGCCAGGCTAGTATTTGAACAAGTCAAGCAAAGTGAGGGATAAGCAGCTAAATTGGCCACAGTACTTGTACAGGAAAACTCTGGTTCATGAGAGCGGCACGTTACATTCCATCAAGCGTGAGTAAACAAGGAAAGAGAAGGACATCTTGAGGAGACCAGTTTGTCGCGGCTAAAATGTAAAGTGGCAGTAGGTGCGCTGTGTAGCGTAATGATGAACTGAGATACACATCGATTCCAAGAGAAAGTAAACAATAATCCGTTCTACACAGCAGTATTTTCTCCGCGTTAATTGTACTTCTTCCACAAATTCTATCCTACAGACAAAGACTAGACTAGATACGATGTAAGTGTATGAAGGAGAAACGTCCATTGTAAGATACTAATGATCGATGGTTTTAGTGTTTTAGTGTTAAGTATGAGAAAAAAGGTATCGAGATATGCAATAAATAAATAACGGACTCATACCAAGGCATTTGTACTGCCCTGTAGCTTACATGATAACACACTCCTTGTCCTCAGCCTTCGCGCCTTGGAAGCCCATCTCCGCGAACGTAGTCGGACCGGACGGCTTAGGTCTGTCCTGCGCAGGAGGCTGCGGCGTAGCAGCCACGCCACTGGGAATTCTACCCGTGGCAGGACTACCTGTCCTTCTCCCCATCCCCACCGGTGACTCCGTTCGTTGCGGTCTCAATGAAGGCGAAGGCGATGATGATGTCGACGGGGGAGCAGAGTTGAATCCCGGATCCGCAAGTGAGTACCGGTTTCGTCCTGGCATCTGTTGTGGTTGCAGGCTTCCCCCACTGTTCCCTCTCACTGGCGCAGGCATGGGAGGGCCGCTCGGTGGAGGCATACTGACACTGCTCCGATGTGGTGGTGCAGAATGAGGCATCTCCATCAGCGTGTTTTTGCGGATCACTTCGACGACATTGGGGTTGCCAGAAGCCGTTCCACGACGACCACCGTGGGGTTGTGCTTCCGATTTCAAACGAGCTTGGGTTCGCGTTCGCACAAGCTTGGACTCGGTGATGACGTCGTGTTCTTGGCGAGAGAGGGGAGCTGGACGCGATTGAGTGAGAGCATCAAGTCGGTCTCGAGCATCGGTGTTGCCGTGCGAATCAGCCTACGATGAAGATCAGAACACATGAAACATAAGGAGATGGCAAACTCGCCTTTTGATACCAATCGATGGCCTTGGCTACATCAATCGAACCACCTACGCCTACTTCGGCATAGTACCCCATGGCAAATTCTGCGCTTGGCAGCCCCTGTTTTGCAGCTCGCTCCGCAAACACCCAAGCTAATCCTTCGTCCTTCTCGAAGGCACCTTCTGATCCACACAGGAACCATTTTGAGAGAGCCATGTCAGCCTCAACTTCTCCTGCTTGCGATGCCTTGGAGTACCACTCTACTGATTGAAGAGCATCAAACTGCCAGGGGTATTGAGCAAATTCATACGCGTGTGCTAGTTTGTATTGGGCAGGAGGGAAGTGAAGGTAAGCTGATCGCTCAAGATGAGTACGGGCTTCGAGGGGCGGAGATGATCCAGCGGGTATGAGAGGCTGCAGAAGAGCTGGTGGGACGGAGACAAGGTTGAATTCGTTGAGAAGAATAAGTGCATATACGTATGCGGGCTGTGGCGTTTCTAGAGAAGCGAGGGTAGCAGCACGCTGGAGGAGAGGTAAAGCGGTCTGGGGCGACGCAGGAAGACCGAGCTGGCCGAGCAAGTGAGCCATGCCCATTCGCTGTTGGAATAATCAGAATAGACCAAAGGGAAAGCAAGAACGAACGCACGTAGATGCTCGCCTCAACGCCAAACTTGACGCCACGTTCGAAACAATCTCGGGCATGGGTCAGGTCGTTGAATGTTTCGTAATCTCTGCCCAGACGGAACCACGCCTTGTGGAATCCGGCGCGAGCAGCGGACTCAAAGTCCCTAAAAGCTGCCCGTGGATTGGGTGGGAGTTGGTCGGGGAATGCACCACTGGCGGCGAGTGAAGCTCGCAGGTACAGCGCTTCTGGTTGCGGCGGCTGCGATGAAGCCAGTGACAGGATGATTGGTATAGCATATTGGACTAGGCGAGTAAGATTCGGGTCTGTTATTATCACTGGCCCGACGACGGGTTCATTAGGCGGAGCGTGAGTATGCCTGTCTGCAAGATACAGCACATCTCGACACCAAGCGATACGTAATGCAGGGTCGTGAGAAGGCTGTTGCACGGTGCTCAGAGCAGAGTCGAGCGACGGTATCGTGGGAATCGGCGCCGTGAGCGACGTTTGTAGAGGCGTTGGTAGTAAAGGCGGCCGTCCAAAGGTAGAGAACATCGATGGCGTCCTACCGATGGCAGCGATGGACTGGGACACGTCTACATGAGATGGCGGCGAAGGCGAGCCAGGATACGGTAGAGCGAATCCAGGATTATAATTTATTGACGACGACATTGCAGGCGGTGACATGACACGCGACATTGCGTCTAGGTCGGCGGCGACGCTGGCGGCTTGGTGAGCGCGAGGAGCGGGCAAAGGTGACGAGGCGCTGATGCCGACCTCGTAGGGATGGTACCGGATTTCTGGCGGGTGAGGCGGGAGGGGCGGCGGGCCAGGAGCGGCGTCGTCGTAGTCGTATGGACGCGGAGGTACGGGGGGCAAAGACATAGTCGTCGTTGGAAGGAATTTAAGACAAATCTATATTTGGTCTAAAGTTGCGCCTTATTTGCAAACGGCACCGCCACACAGGCACTGCCCTCCCAAATTACCTGCTGCGCGACGCGATTATCGAACAACTAGCCAGTCGCATTCGCTGTTTCATCGTGAAACGTTCCTTCCAAGAGTGGACTACTCGGGCAAGTTACTGCTGTGTTCTCATTGCTTCACGATCCGATATAGGCACGTGCGCGCGCGATATTTTTATATAACGTTCATTCAATTCAGTTGCGGAGTCCCAGCCTCCTACGAGGTCTGTGCTCGTCTGCCGTGGCCCCCCTTGCGACGACACAAGACGGCTGAAATCCCCTGGCCAGCCTTGTTAACTGATGAATATAAAACTCAGGCTGTAACCATGTCGACAGCTCTCCTTGGTCTTGTCTATGTACCTCGAGTTCCGACAATCAAGTGATACGCATAGTGCTGAAATCGATGGAAAACGAGTGACGTCGGATATCACAACCCGTCTATCCACTCTCATACCCGCGTCTAACCTCTGATATCACGTACGAGAGCGCAAAAAGGGGAGTTGTTGTTTCATTATTTGCTCTGATTCTCATGATTCCCAGCATCCGCAGCTTCACTGATGATCCAAAGATTTGGACCTGAAGATAGGTAGTGACTCGACTCACACGTCCTGTCTAACCCTCAGTCTATAATTATCGATCTATTAATGGGGCGTCGCGCGCGGGAACCAGAGCCCTTCCAGCTCACGGTATCTCAGGCCCATCGATATGGACTGTATTCGAAAATGACACCATTCCTCCTGTATATTCTTATCCAAAGAAGGGACGATGAAAGGATCTGGATTTATAGGTTGCAGGTCTTCCTTTATATAGGTCCCGACACCCGACGATCGTCAGGAACCCGCCGCGTTCCACCATTTGTCATTCAAGCAAGACATACCACGAACGCCGATCAAACGGACACCAATTTACCCTTTTCATTGCGGGAGGCAGTTCTACAAGGCTCTAATGGATTGAGCGTAAAGCCGATTGTGTCCCGGACGATATATGTCCCTCGGAACTTACCAGAAGACCAGCGGGGAAGCGTGTAAATACGTCCGCACATACAATAGCATGCGTCCTGAAACAGTCGAATTGCCTCCTGCTTGTCAAAGGAAGTTGATTCCATGCAATTTGATTAGGTACAGTTATCCAAAGCTCAACCTATTAATCATTTCCCGTAATGTAAGTGTGGGCGTAATAAGATGAGGTAGTGGTCAGAGGTGATATAAATACACTGAGAGCGACAACGTTGAAAACGACAAGAAAGCAACCTGAAAATAATACATCGTGTATAGTAGTTTATATAGCTGTAGGTCCGTGGATATCGCTTTTTCTGGATTCAGGGACGTCACAAAGCGCAGTAGATGATATGAGCATAGAGTCTTACTGTAGAGGTTAAAGTTCAGGGACTTTAGGACCTATGAGTGTGATTTCTTTTTAAGCTGGGTGGTCCCACGAGCGCTTTACACCAGAATACATGGCCGTTGGCCATTGGAAATTCGAATATCCAGCGTTGACCGGAATGTACCCACTAGGCGAATATAATCCTTCCGAGTTTATAGGCTGACTTGTGGCCGTATAGCCACTAACATTCGCATACTGCGCAAACGAGCTGCTAAACGACCCCCCAGTCGCCGGATAAGGGGATGAGCCAGAGTTCGGCGTGAAGGAACTCGTTGGTGAGGCCATATTCGTACCTCGCTCGTCCTCCAGCACGCGAATCTCCTCTGCCAACCGCTGGTTTGCGAATCGCAATTG